TCCCCCCCCCTCCCCCCCCCAGCCAGTAACAGAACCCAGGCGTCCGGGCTCCCGTCCCCCCCCAACCCAGTAACGGAACCCGGGCGTCCGGGCTCCCGTCCCCCCCCAACCCAGCAACAGAACCCAGGCATGAGGTTTCCCATCCCTCCTCCCCCCAGCCAGTGCAAGAACCCAAGTGTCTGGGCTTCTGATCCCCATCTCACCCTGAGGAACCGATGCAACAGGAAGGTGAACCAGTTCGTCAGCATCTTCTCAGCCACAGACTCCGTCCTAGGGGAGGGGAGAAGAGGGGACCCAGGTGTCCAGGTCACTGGGGTTTTGGGGGGGGGCTCACCAAGCGATGACATGGCTCAGCAGGACCCCATGGCAGTGTGGGGGTCCAGGAAATGGGGGCCCCACTGAGGCTAGAGGTCTCAGGACCACAGAGGAGGTCCCATAGTGGTTCCAGGGGCAGGAGGCAGCTGAACTGGAGGTTCAGGGGGGAATTTAGAAGTGGGAGGGTCATGGAGGTTCAGGGGTCCCAGGGAAGTTAGGGAATGCCAGGGGAACCCGGTGGGGAGGGGGGCAGGGGAGTCCCAAGGGAGTGTGAGGGTCGTGGAGGGTTCCATGGCAGATTCAGCATCTGAGGGGAATTTTGGGGTCCAGGGAGAGTTAGACGGTGAAGTGGGGATTTTATTCACCTCGGTATGTTGAATGAGTTCTGCTGTCTTATAGTAACCCTGTGTGCGCCTCAGTTTCCCTAGACACTGCACCAACTCCTGGATGTGGATTTCCGGGTGGCAGACTCCCCCACATACAGTGCCCGAGGCCCTTCGTACCCTGAGCCTGGGACAGCCAAATGACACCTTGTGCCTGGGAAAGGCTGGGCAGGGGGAGAGGAGACTGCTGAGTGGGTGAGGGGGGGTAGCAGCTGACTTGGGGGGCAGGGAGGGGGCAGGGCCCTGGCCTGGGCTGTCCTGGCGGCTCCTGGGGGGGCTCACATCTGGTTGGGGGGGGCAGGGAAGGGGACTCCCCACCATGGTGACAGAAGGTTCCAGGGGAATTGAGATTGATGTTTCCAGAGGGGTCCTGGGGCAGTTGTGGGTCCCCGGGCCGCACCTGCGCAGCAGCAGCTTGGGGTGAGCCCGATTCTGCAGGTTCTTCTCAATGAGGTCAGCCAGCAGCTGCTTTGGGACGCGGGTG